GGGGAAAATTTCATCAAGGTCCAATGGAACCAAGGAGATGTTGGAAATAGGAACAAAAATTGCAGACTGCACGTAAAAGGTTAGAAGATTAACGGGATGAAAGTAGTGAACAAAAACTGTATAATAAACTCGACAAAACTGCTCAAATACGAAAAAAATATATCCGGAGTATAAACAATTTAGACGAGTTACTTATTATACATACTTATATTATTTACAGTTCGTTAAGCAAATTTACGGGTAGCTCTTGGAATATTCACTTGAAAATCTGTTTTTCCAGAGTACTAAATTGTTTCAAGAAATATCAAAGGCACACTTTACTAATTATTGTTTAATGTAAATATAAGGTTAGAGGAGAAACAGGAAAAGAGAGGTACCACAAATCTGATTTTACTTTATTTAGACGCAGGTAAATGAAATTTTTTAAAGTATACTCTTACTCCTGAGATAAAAATGTTCTATAAGTTTTTAAAATGCCACGAAATCTATTTTCAAGCTGTTAAAAAACAGCTAATTTAAGACTTAAAAATCAGCACGACAGCGCGGTATGTTCAAGGAAAAAATAATGATTCAACTATTATAATAAATTATTAAAGGAGTACTGCCTCTTTGACGTGAGTTTAATTTTTTATTTGAAATTTTTCTGATCTTTTTTTGCACTAGAGCTATCATTTTTGAATTTTCGATAATCAAGTGGTCATGAATGCTGAAATGTTTAATAGAGTTTTCCGATGCTAAAAAAGTATACCGAAAGTTAAGCAAATTAGATTCGAACGGTATAAAAGCTTGGAATAAATGATTGATCTCGCGCCCTGCGTCGTAATAGTCAAAGAAAGAAAAGCTTTGCCTGGTCCTTCTCTACAATTCTAATTTTTGTATGACTTTTATCTATTCGTAAGTTTGTCTTTAATATAAACTTTCTATTTTGTTCTAGAAAAGTGCGAGAGGTTAAAAATAATTTCTCGTAAAAATCTAAAATCGTCTGTGCAGAGCTAGATATGTTGTCCACGTATATTACAACTGAGCATTTGAAAAAAAAGAATAAAAACTGTCAATAAAGTCGATTGTCTAACTAAAGAAATCGAGCGAGAGAACGTGTGCGAATAAATCGGAATAAGTATAGAGGAGACTCGAAAGACGAAGTCACAGGGTGATAGGATATTAATATTAGAAGACATAGAGAGTAGAATATAGAATGATGTATAGGTATATAAGTGAGAGTAAAAATGTGGGTTGAAAAACAAAGCGGCATTCACAACACCATACGAGGACACTGCTTAGATCAGCAACTTTTATACACGGGTTTTGCTTCGTCTTTGTTGGCTGGCAACAAAAATTCGGTACCTTGGCATCTCATGCCCTGATGGATGATACCGTAGAGCAGGCTACCGCAGTGGTCGCAGAAGGTGGGGCTGTTGTACGTTTGCACCTTGAAATTATGCTTCGTCCGCAAGTCCTGCGTTCAGCATCAGTATTACAACCATGCGTTTTGAGCGCATCATCGCCCACTCATCAAACATCCATACATTAGTTTGTACACGAGAGAGAGAGAGAGAGTTGGGGGGGGGGGGGGGAGTCGGAAATGCAAGGAAATTAGACGTTAATTTCGTTACTCATCCCTCGTCCTTCCGTACCGTAGAGATTTAACCTCGCGGTCGAGATTGGAATGTAGCGCGAGTTAGCTTGCGCGAACGTGCAGCCTCTCGATACTCTCTGGAGCGCAGTTTGTTTTGCAAATTGACATTTCCCGGAGGCTTAAGACAACGCGAGCCGTAAAATTTCATTAAGAGAAGTTTGCAAAATGTTTAGGCGTTGCGCGCGAGCGAACAACTGTGTCACATTGTGCACACGAGAGAGGCAGAGAGAAAAAGTTTGCCAACGAAACGAACGTTCAAAACGGGGCAATCTCGCTTGTATAACAGGTGCATGTACAGTTGAAACAAACTTCGCTCTCCAAGTGCGCGCCGACGGCTGAAACGCGAGTGTGTCTAGCGTGCATATATACGTATATATTTATGCAGTATACGTGCATGTGCGAGCAGCGCGAGTAGAAAGAGAACAGATCAAAGGGTCAAGGACGCGAGCGAGAAAGGGTCAAGAGAGCACGACGCACTAACGCGATATTACACGCTTGACTACTTTTCAAAAAATCGCATATAGCGCAACTTCTCTCATCGCCTTGTTCCATGCCTCGCTGGCGCTCTCGTCCTCCGCTGCGAGCCACAACGCGAAAAGCCCAAAATGATGAGATGCCTTTTTGGCCTAGTCTTTGCTCGAGCAGCCGAATTATAAAATGCGAACGGTCGTGCGCGCCGCAAGCCTTTGTCGGCTCCAGGCGTGACGTCATTTCCGCTCAATAGCATTTCACCGAGATTGGCACATTCTACGAAAACGTACGTATCGTAATTGCGTTTTAGTGTTCATCCTACTCTTTTTTTTTTTTTTTTTTTAAGGCTAAGACATTTTCTCATTTTCAGTAATGGGAGATAAGGATCTTCTTTCCTACAGCGACGGGCTAAAAAAACGTTTTCCATCTCCCGTACCGCGCTCGATGCTTTTATTTTGCGTTACGTTCCAATCGGATATCATCGTCAAGATAGTCGGAGAAAGTTTAGGGCTTTTGATAAGGCAACAAGTTATCCGCGCAATTGACAAGTCATCGCCAGAATAGCATTATTTTTCATCGATCATTGGTGCTATTTTCATCAGCCAATTTTCGCGTTCGAGTACATCTAATAAAAAGATTTTATCGGGGCGATTTCGCACACACGATCCAGCACGCGGCAGTCGTTTTGAGCAATATTTACTCGATAAAGTGATCAAGAGACCGACGGGGCTAGTTTGCAAACTTAAACAAACACGCTATCATTATCAACAATCATTATTTACGACGGCTAAGCCGGCATTTACGACGAAACAATAGCGGCCATGGCTATATATAATACGCGCTGCTTTCCGTGCCGTGCAGAAATAATAGGCGGATTCGCGCGGCAGCGCCCATACGTTTCCGATTCGCGAGCGCGTTAATAGAGGCTAATTAATTTGCAAGTCACGTACGCACGCTCTGCGGCTCTACGTGCAGAGAAGTGTCGCGCTGGACGGCAGCGGCTCGATTACAGGCGCTCTACGTTTCGCGGCGCGTCACCGAGTAACGGCCGAGTACGGATTCCCGAAGTAAGCTAGCCGCGCGTGCCGCCGACGTCTCGACCCTTTACCTGCGCGCTCTTCGATGAATTACGAGCTCCCGCGGCTTTATCGCCGCTCGCCACGACACCGACGACGCGCCTGACGTTGACGCGCGCGGAATGCCTGATTCCGCGGCGCTGACTCGCTTTCCCACCTGCGATTTCGTTTTTAGCCTTTGTATCGCTGTCGAAACGAAACTTACGCGTGGCTGGTCAATTTCGATGTGCGCCGCGGTGGGCAAGCGGATGAAAAGGCAGGGACAGAGTGATTGATCCTGGCTTGGATCAGGAGGATCGACGAATTCAAAAACTCACATCCAACCATTCATACTATCTTGTTCAACTCGATATTTGTAATGCTCACATTGATTTTTATCTCGATCGGACTGAGGGTAAACAAGTCTACGAATAACGAAATAAAGTTGAATTATGAAGTCACTTTAAAAATATCGAGTCGGTGATGTAGTTTCGTTTATTCAAATAAAAGTTTTTTTATTATGCAATAAAAATGTTTAACCTAAAAGACGAGATTGTAATTACATATAAAAGTACTGTAGAAATTGCCTAAATTGGCTTCGTTGTAATCGCTCAACTTATCAGTGAATCTATTATTATGAATATTTTCATTTGAGGAAAAAGGTATATAAAGTAATATGTTTATATTTGAATAAGAAAAAACGTATAATATGAAACGCAACGTTTCTAAGATTCATGATGATATGTGATACATTATATCGAAGAAATTTTATAATGTTCCTGTATAATGTGACGTGTGAACGTGTAATGAAAACTGATCCCTGTTATTGATTTTACGAATGAATAAAACGCGATAAATACTTTTCCATATTTTCCATTTTCATGTACCTTAAATATAAATGTTAAGATTAGATATGAGAAATAGAGTTTGAAATATATTTCTTTCTTTGTTTGTAATCCATTATCTCAATAACATTTGGTATCATTATTCTAATAATGGCACAATATTCCTCATTTCTTATTAAAGCAACCCAACATTGTAAATGAAGCGTAATGGTTAGGCCAATTGCGTGCAATGGTGCTCAGAAATAGAAATGATTCAGTCCCTTGGGGCCAATTGTAATGCGATTTTGTCTCTCTCACCGTTCGTTTTATCTCCTCCTTTTTCTCGTTTTTTTCCAAACTTTTCCGTGTCGCTTCGTTTTTTCATTTTCTGGATGACTGGACTACGATCTCATCTTTTTTTCAAAGGATCCCAAAGACCCTTTTTCTTTGATTTGCCGTATCGCGAAACTTTCGAAAGCTTTTCTATCGATATTCCTTTCGAATGAATAACCCGTCGGAATTGATCGAACAATCAATCAATTTTGTTAAAAATAATAACATTGTCGTGTCCCTGGTATATTTCTCTATGTTCAGTTTTAACGTAATTAATAGTTTGCAGTTCAAACAACTCTCCGAAACATTAAAAAAATTTCAATAGAATTCGGTGACCTGAAAACTGTGGTCAAAGATTACGGAGATTTATTCAGATTCAAAGTTACTTTCAAACATAGCCCGGGAACAACGTATCTTCACCGTCAACGAAGCAATAAGGTGTGAAAAATCCGCCAATAAAAAGAAACAAAAAAACTAGGCTATGGAGACGAAACCGCATGGCACGGAAAGTTTAGTGCTAGAGAATTTCGAAAATAGAAATGAAGGAGGGTTAAAGGGTAAAGGGGGATTGTCGCGTATCGAGATGGTGTTTGTGTATGTATGTCTGTGTATGTGTGTGTGCGCGCGCGCGTGTGTGTGTGAATTTTTATACGGTGCAGAAATGAAAAAATTGACACTCACGTCGGAATCGGCGCCTTTGTCCACTCCAGGGCACGTGAAAGACACGTACTCGTGGCATCGCTTGTGCACGACGAAACTACAGACTGTGAACAGAGATGAAAGGGAAAAACAGATATGAAATGTGCCGCGAGTTAGAGAGAGAGAGAGAGAGAGAGAGAGAGAGAGAGAGAGAGAGAGAGAGAGAGAGAGAGAACGTATGTACATGTATATTTTCGCTATTCCTCCTGTGTCCGCACGCGCTTTCGCTATATAGATCGAGGGTTCGTCTTTTTGCCATCTCTTTTCCTCTCTCTCTCTCTTTTTCATTTCAGGGACGCCTTATTTGGACTCTTACCTTGGCACTGATAACCCTGCTTTCCAAAGCCCCTGTAACATAAAGAAAAGAAGTCGTCTTTCAAATTGCAGTCTGCTTGCTCCTTGCGTGCCTGAGCTTATGTTTTATGCATTTTTCCAAATTTTCGCCTGTTTCTCAACCTCCTGTACGTTATTTTCGGAAGACCGAATCCTAGAATTGCGGCTGATTTATTTCACCATTTTTATAAGGATCATGCTCTTATAAAGAAGCATCTTTAAAGTTTATCAAACGTAAATTACAGTATCGAAATTGGCAAATCGAATGAACAGTATATTTAGACCAAATACAAGTAGAGTAGTCTCACGTGTGGTATTCAAAAATGTTGATGTTACATGGATGTAAGATGAAAATCTCAGTGTTCACATCGAGTCTCCGTATCGTAAAAACACAAAACGTGTAGTATTCCCGAGTGAGCACCAAATCTCAAAGCCCCTTAAAATGTAAAAAGGGGTATAGATGCGGAAAAGTAGGAATCCAATAAAATCTCGTAGAATGTTTTAAGCAGACATACAAGAGACAGAAAAATGCTTATTTTCATAAAATTTTCAATTTCGAATGTTCTATTGCAAATCTCTTGAAGTTCGGTCGTTCGTCGCTACTCGCAGCTGGCTGCAAGGAGGATTTCATCGAAAAGAAAGCCCGCAATTCGTCGCATTATCGCGTCCTCGAGAACGCAGCTGCTGCTAATCTTGTAAATGGGCGCAACCGAGCTTAGTACAGGTCGCGCGAGAAATTCTGAAGCCACGCGACAAAGGGAGAGGGAGCATCACCTGCAAGCTCAGGTGCGCGCTCTTGCGGGTTTATCAATCGATAAGCTCTCTGGACGCGCATAAACGAACGAATCACTTCTCGTCAGGCTGGGAATTGGCCGTGGCCACGATATTTTCCTCGCTGCATGGATCAACACTCCTCTTTTGTTTAGATATTCATGTCATCGTGATAATCTCTGTTCAAAAAGTCAAGATAGCTGCAATGTATAAGAATCTGTCTTTAAAATAATCGTACAGAATTACTTGGCAGCCTTGCGGTTTGTAATATGTATATATAGTGGGAAATCTACAGAACCTTTAATTTTTTTGTAAAGTGCACTGTATGTTTTTTTTTATTTTTAAGTACAATTGTTAAATTTATTTAGACGTGATTCTAGACGTCTAAAAGTAACAAATACACCCGCGTTACTCATTTATATGAAGACTACCGTGTTATTATAGAAAAATAGAAAAATTAACTATTCGACCAAAAAAAAATTTCTCTACACAGTAATAATAATTGGTAGTTTATTACTTGTTACGTTATTATAAAATTCCAACGATCAAAACTTTAATTAGCATACAATCGAATATTATTTACGAACTTCAAGTAAAAAAATTCTATAAAAATAAATAATTGTAAAGGTTTCTCTTTTGTCTTTTCAAAAGTAATTTTGCTTCTTTATTATCACTTGATACGTTATTATGCTATTATATTCAAGAGAATAAATTCGTTGAGATAAAACATCGTGTCTTAACAAAATTACTCATCATATCATCAAACTCGAATCATATAAGCCTTTCAGTATCGTAAAACATACAATAAATTACTCATTTTTTTTCGTCACTATAAGCATACGAGATAAAAACTGTGACCACTAATACTCGTAGTATACTGACGCTATTTTCGGAATCCTCAAATCGTACTACTGTATAATCATAGCCATCGATTCACGCGGTTAAATATGTAAACAAAACTAAGTTCTCGAATTAGTAGTGCGCACTTTATCGAAAAAATTTCACATTTGTTGACACATGATATATCATAGATTTTCGACTTCAACAATTTTTCAATTTGAATTTCTATTTTTCATTCATTTACGATACAAAATCAATATCGCGTTCATATTCATCGGATTCAAAAAAATTCATATTTTAATATTTAGTGTCACTTAAAAACTATGAGATTTCTCAATAATTTTATATTTTAAAGTCTTTCAGACACAGCAGATAATTTTCTGACGGTCAAATGTCATAACAGCATCGAAAATAAAAAGGGCTACGGCTACATAGGGGAGACCGGAGTAGGTTGGCCGATGGCTAATAACTCACGATTGAAACGACAACCCATCACGGTTAATATCAGTGACGTAGATAAGCCTAAGGAATGCTTGTGTTCACTTTCAGTTGGAAAGCATCATTCAGCACGGAAATAAGTAAGTCGAAAAATTATTGCTCTGAAAAAATTTAATAACTCGTTCAAAATTGATGATTGTAAAAAATCACTTAAGGTAGTTTGTAGAGAATGTTTGTTTTATCTGTCTATGAGTTTTATTTTTTTTTCACAATTTATAACATTATTAGTTGAACATAGAAATTGACGTGCACACTTGGGACATACTGATCGACTTTTCTCGGGGCAAGTTGGCCGATAAAAAAGCAAATGACCATGCGAGTTATTTATTAATAAATTATTTTTGTAGTTCGAAATGGTTCTGAAGTATCAGAGGAGAACAAGTAAAGCGTTTACCTCACCTGATTATACAAACAGTCTATGCAATCAAATTTGAGCGTAAGCAACTACGACAAAATGCAAGAGATTTACAAATTCCAAAAATATCCCTGCAAAGATATAGTTTAAAAATAACGATGGGAGAGATAGAAAAATACCATATCAATATTTAAGCCCATAGAAACATTGCAGTGTGACATCAAAAATTAAAAAATGTAAATTAATGAAATATATCTAATGTGATTAGTCTGGTTCTTTGTTGATATACCATGTTTCAGGTGTTTATCAGTGAACAAGAAATTATACCACCCAATTACAATGTTTAATATTTGTTATTTATTAAGAGTAAAATATTGCTCCAGTTATTTGTTCTAAATTGAAATTTAGTGCATTATATTTTGAAATAAAAACAATGTCACACAACAATAGTCTGTGTTTTTATTCAAAACTTTCATTGTCGGCCAACTTGCCCCAGGATGTCGACCAACTTACGTCGTATGCGGGACAGGTTCCCGGGAATACTTATTACGAAAAAATTATACATAACTTTTTTTGGTTTCAATGAATCATTTTGAAAAAAATCATAAGTACTCCCCAGATAGAGAGCTTACAAGATCGACTTTATAGTGTTTTAGAAAAAAATAAAAATGGAAAAAGTTGGTCGATATGGCCCGGGTTTCCCTATTTTATATTCACGGAAAAAAAATTTTTCGAGATAAAAAGTCGAGTGACAGAACAGATAAAGGTTCCGAGAATTTCCCCATATATAATGTCTGGAAAACACGGTGATAGTCAGGATCCCAAACGACTGAAGAAACGATGTCAAGTAGCGTATAACCAACTTCAGCGAAGACAGAAATTTAATTAACATAGAAAGCCCGTCATAAAATCAACCTGTAAAACGGAGTGGTCGAAAAAAGAAAAATACGGAGTGTACTGGAGAGCATCAAAGAAGAAGAAAGCGTTTCCGCGCAGTTTTTTCCTCTTCGTGAGGTGGTTGAATTTTAATTTTATAAGGATGGCGAGTGACGCCTTGCAGTCGATAAAAAAAAAAAAAAAAAATCACGAGCACGCGGATAAGGGCGAAAGCGCAGAAGCGAGTTTATTTTATTTTTTGTTTGTTGTTTCGTTTGTCGAGCAGTCGGATTAGCGCTCGGGGAAAATTCGTGCGCGGTTCTCGTCGGCCTCGGCGCACCAATGGGGACGCGTGTCGCGGAGCTCTCGTCCTTTGTCGGCGCGGCCAAGCGCTCTGCCTATACTCTCGGCAATTAAATCAACCCCGCCGAACAAATTAATATTTCAAGGTTTATCAATCCCCGTAGCGCGCACTTACCAGTTATACGTGCCTACTGCTCTCGCGATCAGGGCCACCCTGTTCTCTTTCTCTCTTTCTCTCTCCGTCGCCGTCGCGTCTCACTTTCGCTGCCAGCAGCGCGCTTGTTAGATGGTGACGCTGTCGACGCTTGTTTTCTTCCTTCGAAGCCCTCCCCCCTCGTTTTTCCTCGCTACTTTCAATTTCTCAAACTGCGTATGCCCATGGTCACTTCATCGCAATCATTTATACGGGCGTGATCGAGCAATATCATCAACTTTATTACAGCCTTATTACCGTGCAGCTTCTTGTTCTAGATATATCTGCCTCGCGTGCCTTTCAACTGGCATTACTTTGCCAACTTATCTCTGTCCTTTTATTCCTCTAGCGCAATCTGTTGCTCTCTTAATGTGCTTGCTAGTTCGTGCGGCAACGCTTCTCGTATTGGTATAAACGTTGCAGCTTCGTGAATTCATTTAAAAGTATCCAATGATCTCCAATGTTTTTTTGGCAAAGAAATCGCTGATTTATTCAATATTACATTTATCAGGAAATATCTAGCTCATCTATTTTCAGTAAACATTGATTAGTTTTGGACCGACAGATGAAAAGTCTGTCAAAAGAATGTGCGATTTGCTTCGAGCAAGGAAATAAAATGATACGAGAGGTTACGCAATCGTAAAAGTGCGTCCTTCTACGTATGTTGTTTTATTTATAGGCGTGTGTCTCAAGCTTCGATTTCAAAGATTACGGCGCCGAGTCATCTGACAGATCGGTATAAACATATGACTCGGTGAGATGCCAGCGATGTCTCGCTGAATTGCCAGCTGTGTGTTAGTGGCGCAGAGCGCCGTGCATAGTTTCGAGTAAACGCGAACGAAGAATGCCGCACTCGGCACCGTCGGCAGGAAAATGCGAGTCAGCGTGGGCGCGTGCAGCGCTAGAAAACGAGGAGGAGGAAAAAAATGAAAAAAAGATTTCCGCGCGACCGAACGGTCTCGTTAGTCACCTGCTCTCTCATCCCGCGGCGATGTTATCTGGCTTGCTAAGCAAACGCCCGTCCCCCCTCCTTCAGGGGAAGATCCAAAGGCAACAGCGGCGCGCTCGCCCCCGTCGAGTTTGTAAATCAGACGCGCGCGCGCGCGCGCGCAAATATGGCTTGCGATGCTTATCGAAGCGGATCGACCACGATTAGCTAATTGCGCGTGACGTCGCTTT